TCCGACCCTTAATCTATGAATCTATGAATCTATGAACCTCTGCCTTCAGCTTGGCGTTCCCAAATTCAACTCAGAGACCACAAGGAGCCCACAGAACCTTTCTGGTAGTCCGCTGGTTCTCAACATGGTTTGTTTCTAACAGGTGGAGCCTGAAACAGCAGCAGCCATACTGGGTCAGAGCAGGGGCTCATCCCATCCAGTATTCTGTCTTTGAGAGTGTGGCCAGGATCAGAAGACCCCATAGAAGCTACAGAGAGCTGTGAAGTACACTTACCCTGAAGGCAAGTTTCTTCATAACTTTCATCAGGTAGCAATCAGCTTTTCCTCCACCACAGTAGTGTTTCAGTGGATCTACTGCTGCTCCAATTAGCCAAATAAACATCTCCCCTTGCTCTTTCGCTTGCATTTCAGTATCAGTGCTAGCACCTTTTTAAGAGAAGCTTGATATTGGTTACCCTCAGTTCTTCCAGTGCCATCACCAATATTAATGAGATTGCGGGGCAGAGAGCCTTTGTGCTACTGAGGCAACACCAAGTGGTCGCACACGCTCTGCTGGGGATTCTCATGGCATGGGAAGTCTTGTATGTGTATAGTTGTCAAGCTGACCTTAATGGGAGCAAGCCTGAGCAGAACAACGGGAAATGCAACACCATTAAGGGCCAGGAGGAAGAAGCCTGGCAGCACATGAGCCCCATTCATTCGAAACAAGCAGATGCCTCGAATGATACAGCATGAAAGAGCTACATTTTCCCTCCAAAGTTTCACTAGTTCGGAAGAGAACAGAGCTTACCTTTGGCAGGCTAACTGGAGTCCTTGGCTTTGTCCTAGGATTCTTTATCAACTGCCTTTGATCCAGAGGAAGCAAGTGGTATTTCATGGCCTCAATAAGGAAGTCTTTGCACGTGTTGTTGTTCTTGATCAAAGCTTCTTCTTCAACTGTCTAGGAAAACCGACAAAGATCATTTTACCTGATATACTTGACTGGGGGTTTCTACTGCATTCACGAGTGTTGTAGGAAGTGTAGGAAAGAGATTGGAATCTATCAGAGTAACAGCGAGAGGGATACAGAATAGCAGCGGCATCTGTGGACAGAATTCCAGCTGTTCAGGAAAGGTTTGCAGTGCCAAATCAGGTGATCTGCATTCATTTCCAACTTCACTTTCCCAGTAGATCTTTTATGCTGATCTTTATCTGTGACAAAATCAAAAGCAGCCTCCAAACAAGGGAGAGCCTTCATCTACCCGCTACAAACCAAATCCCACCTGTAGAAAAGCAAAGACTTTCCATAGGGAGGAGAAATCCCTTCCCACTAGAAATACCCAGATCAAGCACAAGAATTGCTGTTGTTCCCCATTATTGTGGCTTATAGCTGGGAAGGTTGGAATGGTGCCCCTGGTAGGAAAGGCCACACAGCAACCCTGCCTCTTGGTCACAGGCTACTCCACCCACACTGTACACAAACAGCTGGGCTCTATGCAACATGGAGGATTTTTCTTGGTTTTGCCTCAAAAGGCCTAACCAACTGTATCTTGCAGTATTATTGCCTCTTCTTCTGACAGCTGTGCCCTACCTTCTGACACTAGAGTCACCCTTTAACTGAGTGGTCATGTCTGAGGCTTTGCAGATTTGGTTCCCAGTGGAACTGGAATTGTAGGTGTGGGTTCTGGGTTTGTTTCAGTTTAACGTATTTATTTCACAAAAATGCACCAGTCATAGAACAGAGGTGGTCAAACAGCATACAGGTCATAAAACAGAGATAGCCAAAAGGCAGGATGCAAAAAGACAATCCCCTCTTCTAGGAATCTCAGCCCAATGCCAGAATTCACAAGGAGTTCTGCCTCGAGAACCAGCTCTAATCAGATACTAAGGCAGACACAAAACTTTGCCAAACAGACACACGCATGCACAACTCCTCTCCCCACCACCCATATTTGCTTGAACAAGAACTTACAAAACTATTTAACAGGACTACCCAGTGACAACTGATATAATGCCTGACTGCATAAAATCGGGAAGCAAATATTCCTGAGAGTCTCGATCCCAGATCTGCAAGTCCTCCATGAGTGCCTTTTACTCAGAATCTGGCCTTTAGTCTCAGATTTAAACATAGGAAAATGAACACTTCATTCACAATGCAAAACTTCCAAGTTTACGGCACTTTTCACAGACACATCCTTGCTCTTTGCACAGGCTAACATAACACAGAGAACATCGGGGGAGAAAATGACCTTCCGCTGTGTGACCTACTTTTTAGATTTCATTAATGAGAAGGTGTACATGACCATGAAACTTATAAACTCTGGTCCTTAGCCCATAAACACAGATACATTCAGTCCCCACCTCAAGCAGCAAATGAGCAGGAGCACGGGTAAAGGGGCTGTGGTCAGTTCTGAGGCGAGGAATATTTTAAACGTATTTACCTGCACAAGATAGTCTCGGGGTAGAAGGGGCAGACGAACATGTTCCATTAACTTAGCCATATGCTCTAAACGAGATTCCTTCTCATAATTTATCCAAGAAATAACAGCTTCAAAGACCTAGAGGGAGAAAGAGAATACAATTAACTTCAGAAAAAAGAGCATGCCTTCTTAGCCACTATCAAAGCCAAAAGTTTAGTAGTCTAAACATCAGGTTCACAGCGACTATGGAAAGAAAGGAGGAACAAGGCATAAGGGGTGCCTGTAGACATGAGGGGCACCTGCTCCAACATGTTGCTGTTAGGATGTTTCAGCAGCCTCAC